CCCTAAATATCAAGTTTCTGAATATACATATTCTTAAACTCCACAACTCAGTCACACTTCAAACGCACTAACTCATTTCATTTCCCACCTAGTCAACTTTATAAACTTCAAAAACCCGCGCGGCCCGGACTGTATATTAGGTATCAAATTATTCAAATATAGAGAATGCAAATGTATAAATTCACGGAGCAAAGACTTTTTTCTGTTTTGAAGTCAATTTACAGAATAAATAAATGAGAAGGAAACTTCGTCGTAGGATAACTAAGAGGGGAAATTGACTAATTAAGATCTATTTTACTATTAATTAGAATTATACAACTCATTTGGCTCTTCAATGTGATCTTGTATTTAACGTAACTTGACTAAAAAAACTCCACCGAAAAATGAACCAAACCGAGCATAAACCTTCTAGATCGTCATCAAGATACATATTTGCGTAAATGTAGCTATCTGCTAGAAGATGCTTTCCATGGATCCATGCATTGAGAAATCAAAAGCTTCCGTCGAAGAAACATTTCATTAACAATGAAAGTCTATTATAAATTGTCAAAACCACTCCATCATTTCTAAGCAAGAACTCTATTAAAAAAAGTCCATCATTTTTTAATTTTTTTTCCATAGAGTTCTAGTTGGTCTACAAGCTAGGTCGGTGTATATGGTCCATGTTTGTGAATCAAAATGAGGAATCTAACTAGCTATCTACTAAATGAGGTTTCAAATTCACCGCATTGATAAATCAACTTGCTTCAGTTTGAGAAAAGTTAAATAAACCAATTTCTTTGCCATGGAAAATGGCACGAATTGTTTCGACTCAGAATAGAGCTACCACATTAATTACTTTGAAAAGGAATACTCTCTCCGTCCCATAATTATTGTACAGTTTGAATTTTCAATTTTAGTTCAAAATATACTAAAAGTGAAATCTCAAATAGGACAATAATTTTGGGACAGAGAGAGTATATTAGTGAGATATCATCCCTCGGAATTTACTAATATAAATTAATTCACCAAAAGGGACATTTAAATGTGAAGGCTCTAAAGTTTGTCAAATTTATTTGGAAAACTAATTTATTTATTTTTTTAATACGAATCTTACAAGCATCTAAACTATTACATGACTGAGTCTAGGGAAGGCACTTACTACTAGACTTGTCTAATGGTGAACTAATCTCATTCCAAGTCGTAGCTAGCTTTCCGCTGTAATGAAAGAAACACTAATTAAAGAATTGCTTGTCCAACAATAATATAGCTGATCAACAATATATAAGGGTGTCTTAGAAAAATAATCCATTTTGTTATACTCCTTCTGTCCCATAATTATTATCCAGTTTGGATTTTCATTTTTAGTTCAAATTGTACTAAAAGTGAAATCTCAAACTGGACAATAATTTTGTTACAGAGGGAGTACTATTTTATTTTAACAAAATGAACAATTTTTTAAATCAAGGGATGGAAGGATATTATATATATATATATATACGCAAAAATACATGCTATCAGAAAATAAAAATTGTATATATATATATATATAATTCCAGAAATACACTCTATCAAGCAAAAACTGATATATATATATATATATATATATATATATAATATTCCAGAAATACACGCTATCAAGCAAAAACTGTCTGCAAGTTATCTTGATATTTAAAATTATCTTGTGATTATGAACCACTACAATGCTACAATATATATTTTGTGTCAGAAAATAAAAAATTGTAAATTATATTTGTTAAATTAAAATTATATAACAAATCAGATTTGTTTTATAAGGACAATATATATATATATATATATATATATATATATATCAGCATCTCATGTGAAATGGCCATGTATGTGGTGTATTGGTCTTCTCTTCACTTGGCAGTGCCATGTATTTTTTCCATTCCTCAAGCAGCCTTCTAAGAAAGTTTAGCTTACGATCTAAACCGACACAGCAATTGGAATGCATAGTGCAAACGAGATTAAGATCATTGCTTGGTTGACATATTCCCCCGTAAAAAGCTGGGTCCAACAATGCAATCTTGATGCCAACCTTTTCAAATGCTGAAGGACCAGCACTTATCATTTGAAACACTTGTTGATCGTGTTTGCCTTTATGTGTGTACCTGGAGTTGATCCAAAGTTCGACAAATTGGATTGTACGGTTATTTGATTTCACATAGTAAAAATCTGTATTTGCGTAACTCTTTGCTGGGGCAGGCCTGTAAAGATCACTTGAAACTTGCATGTCTACATCATCTAGAAAATGTAACTCTGGATCTCCAAACCACAATATATCGGTATCCTGTTCCCACATAAATTAAAAAAAGATTTATTGTAATTTCTTCCCAATTTTATTTATTCCCAAAATTCATATCTTATTTCAAATAAGTACCACGGAGTCTATGTAAATAAATTGGATCATTTCCAGCTCCCATATCTCTCTCTCTCTCTCTCTAGATCTCTCTCTCTAGATCTCTCTCAAATTGCAATTTGAATGTTCAAAATATTTCTATTTTCCTATAGTTGATTTGTTTTTTCAATCCAATCCACAAGTATAGTAAGAACAAAGAAGATACTCCCTCCGTCCTGATTCTTAGACATTTTGATTTGTCCTAAATTTCACACAAGATATTTTTTTTTAATTAAGAAAACTTTGAAAATATTTCTTAATAATTAAGAGAACACAATAAATGTGAAAATATAATTTTAAGATTTTTTTTTCAATAAAAAAACATATAAAACTTATAACAAATCAAAATACTTTATAATATGTATGTGAAGAACTAATTTTTTTTTTTTTGGTTGAAAAAGTTGGCTTCGGGAAACACTTGTCTCCATATTTCGACTTCCTTGAGTTTCATTTTTATTCCCTCGGTTTTGAAATAAAAGTTCTACTTATCGTAAGCAAACAATAAAACGTACGTATCGTGAAAATGGCGTTGTAGCCAAGTTTAAGAATCGACAGCATGATCTCAATCTTCCTCCAAACCAGCCTCACATAATCAGGCGACATTAAAGATGCCTCGCGGGCGGAAAAATCAATACCTTCAGTCTTTAGGGCAAAACAATGTTGGTGGTTTTCTGAGCACCGGTTATATGCCTTTTGATCTAAGGCTATAACTACCAAATGATTTATGAACTTTTGGGTTCCGTTTCCAGTGTTCCGTTTCCAGTCTTCAAACTCTCAAGAAAAAATCAAGTAATGAACCCGGTTCTGTCCATGCCGCATTTACAGGGAAAATTTACTTATATATAACCTAAAAAAATTTTGAAGAACAAAATCGATCTATGTTTTAAATTGTGGCTAAAACTGATTCTTTCGCGCTTCAAACACGCGAAAATAAGTAAAATCGCATTTTAAAAACGCTAAATTTTTTTTTTTCGCGTTTTGAAAACACTAAAAAACCATTTTTGCGTTTCAGAAACGCTAAAAATAATATATCATAATTAATTTAACTTAATCGTAACTAATTAATGGTAAAAAAATTAATTAAATAACTATTCGCGTTTTTAAAGCGCAAAAAAAATAAAAAAGAATATTTTATTTAAATAAAAACACGAAATAGTCATAAAAATTGGATTAATTTGCCTAGTTTAAAAATTTGTAGGTAAATTTACTTCACACAATTATTAATTTTGAATAATGAAATTAAAGAAAAATTTAAAATTATAATTGATAATCATTAAATAATCATTTTGAATAGAGCCATAAAGAGGAAAATTATATTGATAATTTTAATAATAGGAAAATTAAATTTTGAATAAGAATATAATATTATAATGGATAATCATTAAATTAAATAGAGCTATACTAAATATAAATTATTAAAATTATGAAATAATTATTATAATGTATTAAATTTTTAAAAAATTATATCAAAAATTTAATAATGATTATATTAAAAAATTATATTAAATTTTAAAAAATTATATTAAAAATTTAATCATTATTTTATAAAATAATTTTATATGAAAAAATTTCAATAATGATAAATGACGTAATTTTATGGATTTATATTAATTAGATGTAATTTAATTTACAAATTATTTTTATTAATTATGAAGGATTCAATATAAGAAAAAAGCTTGCGTCGACAACACCGGGGTAAAGAACCTCTATATCATTTCAATGAAGGGAATGAAGGGTAGGCTCAACCGTCTCCCTTCTGCTTGCGTCAGTGACATGGTTATGGCCACCGTCAAGAAGGGTAAGCCTGATCTCAGGAAGAAGGTCATGCCCGCAGTCATTGTCCGCCAGTGCAAGCCATGGCACCGAAAGGACGGTGTCTACATATACTTTGAAGATAATGCTGGAGTGGTTGTTAATCCCAAGGGAAAAATGAAAGGTTCTGCAATCAGTGGTCACATTGGAAAGGAGTGTGATGATCTTTGGCCTAGGATTGCAAGTGTTGCTAAGCGATTGTTTAATGCACTGCATCTTAATTTTGAAGAGAACTATAGTTTACTGAATGTTTGTTTTAGGTATCCGGTACTATCTTTTTGTGGATGTGGTAATTTTAATAGATGGTTGGTATGTAAGAGCTAAGAATTACATCTTTTGTATGGATAAACTAAATACTTTGCTTTTTGTTTCTTTTTTTAAAAAAAAGATGAAGCAACTATTAATTATTAAAAAAATATGAGAAAGTTTGAAGATGTGTTTAGATTTGATCGGCGAAGATGTGTTTGATAAATATTAATGAAGTAGCAACGATATGCAGGTAAAATCAAACTGTTAAGAATATTAATACAAGTCATAACAAAATACTACAAGTCATAACAAAAGGAAAAAAAAAAAACAAGTCATAACAAAAGGAAAAAAAAAACATAAATGAACAAAAGGAAAAAAAAAACAAGTATAATAATACTACATAAAAAGTCTAGTACCCTACTTCTTGGGCCTTTTAGCCTGAAAATGGCTATAAGTCAATCTATCGGGCTCCTTTGTCACTCTCTGGCCTTTACTCAGCCAACGGTGGAGTCCCTAGAGTCTGACTCGATCCCTGCTCCTAATGGCGCTGATAACCCTGGCCCTCAAACTGATCCTGCTGGTCTGCATCCTCAGCCTCATCCTCATCCTCGTCCTCATCCTCATCCTCATCCTCATCCTCATCTGCATCCTTACCTCCAGCTGGGTCATCAGCCTGATGCTGACCCACAACACCCTCGATCATACTCGAAAGAAAGTTACTCGTGTAATGTATCGACTGGTCATCTAGAGAACTCTGCTGGAACCCAGAAAAGTCAATAAAAGCATCTCCAAACCGAGGCTGAGAAGTCTGAGGGGAGGAAAACTGAGTGAAGGCAAAATGGGACTGCTGGTGCTGGGGAGACATAATGGGACTGTAAAACGCCTGTTGGGTCGGCGAAGAATGATGTGGAGACTGATGTGGAGACTGATGGGGTGAATGATGTGGAGAATGTGGTGACTGATGGGATGAATGCTGAGAAGAATGGTGTGGAGACATAAGTGGGATGGACCGTCAGTGAAGGGGATATGAGACTGCTGATGCTGGGAGGACTGATGTGGCTGAGCGGGCGTGATTGTCTCTTGCCCCCCAAGCCCACGCTGGGACTTGCGAGAATGCCTCGGAGGTCTGGGAGGTGGATGTTGCTGGGTCGGGTCTACAGGTGCAAGTTCTTGACTCAAAATGTCATTAACCTCAACCTGCCTCTCGGGATCGTGACGTACAACATTTGTTGCATTGACGGACAACGCCCGCTTAGCAACCTGGACAATCTCGCCTAAGCGATCATAACCAAAGGAGTCCTTGTCGAAAGTACGCTGGCCTATAATACTCAGACTACGAACGTCCTCCATCAATGTGGCCTGAAATTTTTGTTAGAAAGAATCGTAAATTGATAACAATGAAAATAAATTACATAATGGACTGTAGGCGAAAGAAATTGTACGAAATACTCACCATGAGGCGCAAGGTCTCTGCAGAGCCGTGAAAACCCCTTGCATTTTCAGAGTCCGTCAGATCCGTAACATACTTTACAGTAACCTGATGGTACCACAAGAGATACTTCGGATCTGCTGTAGGCTCGCCAACATGATCATCATCAGTCCCGACAAATCTTCGGTGGTGATCATTCCAAACCTGGAGATATATCCCTAGTTGTTGTATCCATCTCCTATCGGATCCTCCAAACGGCTTCCTCTTGAGCAAGCTAGTAATTTCCCCCGCAGTGAGAAGCAATGCGTCACCGGGTATCACTTGGTGATAACCAAATTGGCGAAATACCCTACTGGGGTTGTGTGGCGCAACGACATCACCGCAGATGAGCCATGTCTGAGACCGCCAGATGTCCTGTCCCACAAGACAAACCCTGGCAATACGACCCAGGAGAGTCGTGTACGGCATCCATACATTAAATTTTTTGTTTTCACGTTTTCAAAGTGCGAAAAGTATATAAATGTCTATTTTTAAAACCCTAGAATTATTTTCTCCTATAATTTTGGGTTTGAGACACCCTAAAGTCAAGCACCCTATTTACAGTTGTTACTACCACAGTTTTGTTTTCCGTTGCTGCTTTATTTAGCACTTGTTCCAATTTGGCTGCTTGGGAGTTTTCATTAGCCTGGTGAAGTAATATAAGGAAAAAGTGTAATGTATACCGGACTACTCCTTGATCTATTCCATATTTAGCTTCCGCTCATAGAAAGTGTAAACTGTATTTATTTTTATATATTACTTGATTTACTTCTTAACTGTGATTCAAATCTCAAGAACAGTCTGCTTTAGATTATTCCTGGGATTAAATTTTTTCTTAAGCATATATAGGAAAACCTTTTCTTTCATCGTGTGTACGAAAAAATTTTTGCCAAAATGTATGCAAACATTCCAAAGGATAGTTGGATTTTTTTTTTAATATAATTTTTTTATGGTGAAAAATTACGAGATAATGCAAAGGGCGCACATCCCTTTTACCCTATTAAAACAGAAAACATGAAACTTATGTGACAACTACGTATGCATCTGTTTTGGCTCCAATGCATCATATTTCAGATTTCATGAGTCTTTTTTAATTAGAAGCTATATAATTTTTTTAATAAAAAAAACACACATGTTTTACTACAAATAAGGATCAGTTACATTTCAAACGAATGGATATATTAATTCAAATTCAAATGTCCAATCGTATAGTTTTGCAGGCTTAATATAAACAAAAAAATAAAAATACCTAAATCCAGCAATTAAGAATAATGCCTTATAAACTAATTATTTATTATTCCTTTATAACCTCATATTTATAGGTATATTTTTTAAGCCCCACCCATAGCATAAATGATATATACGCCAAATTAATTTCTCAAAAAATAGTAATTCAATTAGATTTTAATAAAATAGTAATTTAAAAGGGGCGCCCAGGCATCTGCCTGGGCCAAACATCTAGTATATATTAGGTACGTATTTTTCGTCAGAGTTGATTGGACTTAGTATTTCTACCAGTACAGTCCGAAAGACCTATTTTCAACCTGAGACTAGTTTTTAAATGATACTTTCAATAAATTAACTCGTTAACTGAATATAAAATAATTAATCTAATTGCTGAGAGTATAAATATTAAATATAAATATATATATATATAAATATACAACAACGTTTTGTCATATCCTTCATTTTCAAAGTTCAACAATATTCATATTTATTACCGACAGTGCATCAATATCCAAATGAGTCTAGCTAGTTAGAACACGAAAAGTGGCAAAACGAAAAAGGAAAACAAAAATACAAATCACACGCACACACCCAAAGGAAAATAATGGAGAATTGGGGCATGAATAATGTGATTTATGTGTATGTATATGAAAAAAAAAAAGACACACACACATGCACCCATAACTATCGCTTGTAATGTTTTAATTTATTCCAAGACTAGTGATGTCTGGTCGTGCAATGCGTGACCCTGGCCCAATATATTTGTAGATTTTAGAAATATTTGTATCTGAAAAAAAAATCTATTTTGTATTTGGGTCCATATATTTTAGAAATGTTTGAAGAATTTAGAAATATTTTATAAGTGTGATCACAGAAATGTTCGTATTTGGCATAAAAAGAAATTGTATTTGACCCGGTACGTTTTAGAAATGTTTGAAGATTTTAAAAATATTTTATAACTGTTACTTCTTAAATATAAATAAACTTGATCAAAGATATGTCTTGAAGTAAATGCAAGACAAAATATAAAAGCATCCTCATAAGTTTAAATATTAGTAAGATGATTTATTGATGTTCTCCATTGGTTATGCCAAATCAATACTTAGTTTTAGAGATATATAATAGCTTTGTAGTAAGCTTCCTCCAAAAGGTATACGCTTAATTGTTGAAACTATTTTTTCTAAAAGTTTATAGGTAGTAAAATATCAAAAATATGATTTTGAAACTGGTTAATTGTTGAAACTGGTGGATCACAAATATGAGAATAAAAATAATGTAAATTTACATAGGTTTCAAGTTATAGCAAAAAACAACTCACCTCACCATGGCAAATTAAAAAAAAGAGAGTAAAAGATAGCCCATTAAAAATTCAGAAATTTATTTTTTTCTGTAGGTAAAAATGATGTATAAAAACACAAATAAACGTAAAAAAATCATTCCTTCCCTCTCCACCTCAAATTCATAAAAAGCTTCCCCATAAATTAGTTAGAAGAAGTGACCTGAAGTATTTATATGATAAGGAACTAAAAAAAGTCCAAAAACCAAATCCAAAAAAACGTATATTCTTGAAAGACCGAACACAAAAAAAAAAGCGCTTCATTTGTAAATAAAATAAAATAATAATAATTGGTCAACTAGGAGTATGAAACAAAATCAAAAGCAATTAAACAAAGAAAAACACACTTCATAACTGACCATATACGAAAAAACCTGAGACTCCATAATTAAAAAAAGAAAACCAGTCTAATTGAATGAAATATAAAAAACAAATTTAAAAAACCACACTTTGTAACAAAAATCTAATTAATCAATTCAATACAATAGAACTAAAATCATACAAAAATTCTAGACTAACTAACCATATAAGAAATCGCATCATATTACCTTACAGCGAATACGGTAGCTGTAACGGATGAACGCATAAAAATAATAATAACACTATTCTTGAACGGGAAAAACTAAAAATAATAAAAGCCAAACAAATGATCTGCTGAAATAAAATCATTTAAATTTTAATACCTGTAATGGCACCACCATAATGGCCGAAGTAAGATCAATGAGAATTTTTTTTTCCTTTGTTTTATATAGTGATGTAAAGAGAATATTTTTTGAACTCGAAATTTTATCAGATTAAGATTTAGTTGATCATCACCAATGAAAAAATTTAATATGGTAATAGGAAAGGAGTATATTTCACCACATATTCTCAATTGATGATTGATGAGAAATTTTTTTTTTTTTTTATTGTAGAGAAGGGATTGATTAGGGATTTTTTTTTATGAACACGTGGTTTTTTTTTTTTGGCGAAAATAGGAGGTGAAGGTGGATTTGGACTGCATTTGCCTTTTAAATCTAGGAGATGTGTAAATAAAAATTTATTTTAAAAATATAATGTGGAAATGCCACATGACAAATGGTGGTACTTTCTCTAAATTGTGATTTTTGTTTCTAATATAGTAAGAAGTGTTGATTTTGTTGTTTCTTACATTCCATCATAGTGTATTCATTAAATCGTTTCACTATCACGTTATATGGTCTGCACATTCGCAAAAACAAATAAATGCAGAATGTTTATAAATAAAAAGTACTCTATCTATCCCATAACAATAGTCTACATTGGGTTTTTTTTGAGATTTCTATTGTTACTTTTAATATAAATTTCAAAATTTAATGTAGACTACTCCATCCATTTCAATTTATAGGTTGTTTTAGGTTTGAAGAGATTTTTCAAAATGTAAGTCGTTTTAAAAATTCTACGGAAATTAATGACTATTTTTCTAACTTTACCCTCAATAAATGATGTCAACCTATTTTCATTTAGTCATGTTTCTAATTTCAATGTAATTAATGAGGGGTAAAATAAATATTTAACAGATAAATTAATTATTTGATGATTGTTTTCTTAATTTACGTGTAAGTATAAAAAGGCTTACATTTTGAAATGGAGGGAGTATTATTTAAGGACGGAAGAAGTTAATGAACTTACAGGTGGTGATGGAGCTGGAGATGTCAGGACAGTTGAAGCATCTTGCATTGATGAGGAAGTATTATTATAAAGCCCTATGCTTCCTGGTGTAGATATCGTCGTAGATGTAGTATTAGATGAAACAGATAAATTCCCAACCGGGATCGAATGATTACCTTGATGACCAGAAGTTGATGAATTACAATACTGCTGAATTGCTTGAGGCGTAAAACTATTATTTTGAGATTGACCGGTCAATATTGAAAATGGACGATACGAAGTGTTAGCTAAGTAATAATCAATTTGACTGGGAGAATGGTAAGAAGCAAGCGCGCAAAAGCAATGGCAATTAGGTAAAGGATTGTCTTCCTAATAAGAATTTTGGTCGAAATGTGGTGGTGGTGATGGTGATTCTCGAAATTGTTGTCGAGGCCGCCATCACCACTTAGTTCAAAAGAGTTTCGGTGCTGGTTGTTGCCACCGGATTTCAATAATGCCGTCTCGAAATTCATTGTTTGACTTTTACCATCTCAATTGCACGAAGACGCGACCATCTCCCATGTTGTTATTTTCGTTAAGAATAATGACCAAGTTGTTAATTTCTGTTCTTCATTTTGTGTCAAAGTAGTAGCCTACCAGCTAGGGTTGGAGTGTTGTGTACGTACGTGCTGCAGTAGGAAGAAGGGTTTCCCTTACTTCACATTTAAATTCTGGTTGAGGCGGTTTAGGATATGTTTGGATTGTTTTTTGAGCGTGTTTTTTATTAGAAATGGAAAAAAGTGTATGGGGAATGTAAAAAAGGTATGATGGGATGAGACATCTATTAATTAAAAATTCTGAAAAAAACTAACCAAAAAACCAATCAAGGCTATGTTTGGATCGTTTTTCGAGTGTGTTTTTTTTTTTATTGAGAATGTAAAAAAGTGCATTGAGAATGTAAAAAAGTGCATTGAAAATGTAAAAAGATATGCTGAGATGGAACAGATATTAATTAAAAATTCTGAAAAAAAAACTAACCAAAAAACCAACCAAACAAATTTTTGGAGTTCAGAAAATCGAGACTTCTTTTCCCATAAAAAAGTCATCGAGCTTCAAAGCCCTTTGGTATACAGACTTAAATAAAGTTTTTGGTTTTCGGAAACCGGACTTATTGTTACCTGATGAAGAGAGAGCTATTTAATTACTACTTTCATTTTTTTTTAATCTATCGCATTAAATTATGCACGGTATTAATAAA